GTAGTTACAAATGTAATTTCAAAAAACTTAATAAAGTACTAGCGTGACTGCTTATAAAGAAAAAAAAAAAAAAAAAATAATTTATATTTGTCATAATTTTTAAAGTATATGCTAAACATTTAATATTATTTTATTTATAAATTTGAAATAAAGGTTTGCTTCAAAGAGTAACTATTTTTTGTTTTAGAATTTTGTTTCAACATAAATTTGAATATTTTTTTTAATTTTGCAAACCTTAAATATTAATGTCTGAAGCATTATAGTTAATTTTAAATTAAAATTATAATAGTTAAAAAAGACAATTTGATGATTTAAAAATTTTAGAATCATAATCATAAAATGTATTAAGAATTTATAAAGAGTAAAATTAAAGTAATGAAATCTTATTTTAGAAGTAATTCTTTTTTGCCATTTTTGTATATTATATATAATAAATTCTAACTAGTATTTAAAATACTAGTTAGAAAATAAATTTATTTAATAAACATATTATAATTATATTTAAAAATATAGTAAAAAAATTTTATCAGTAATCATATATAAAAATTATGATCTAATACACAAATTAGATTATTAATTAATTGTAATCTGTAAAATATTTGACTTATAACAGACAACACCAAGGCCTATCTTTACTTGATCATCTTGAAAGATAATTATTATCACAACTAATGCTAATTTTGGCTAATATTAATATTTATATAATTATCAGCCAGTAGTAAGTCATGATAAAACAAATGTTAATTTTATCAATTCACGAATAATTAATTCTCAAAACTAACAATTACGGGTTAATCAGCAATATTGGACTAGATGAAGGGTCGATTTATTTCTTAGGGTTTAAACTACGTATTAGGCGCTTTTGTTCGAATTTCAAGGAAACTTGATTGATAGGTTAATTATTTACATTTCGAAGTTTATTTTGGATGTTAAAAACTTTCAATTTATAGTTATTTTCGCTTATTGTGCACATATTCGATATAACCATTAGGCCTACTGTAACAAATCATTTTATTCAATAGACCCTGCTTAGTCACCAAATCCCTCTTAAATTCTTAGTTTGAAAATAAAGATAACGAAGTTTTAATAATTTATAGCATTGATTTAACAAATTTTATTGTTTTTAAATTTTACACTATTGACTGAGAATGGACATATACTTAGATTTTTGTTATTATCCCGAATGAAGTAGAAATCACGATTTCCTAACCCAAACCATGTAGTAATGTCATAATTCAAAAAAAGGCTTGGATTGCAACCTTATATCTTCATCGCTAAAAATACAAATGAATAAATATGAATGCGAATCCACTTTGAAGAACTAGTATAAAAAACGTACCATATCAACCAACGCGACTTCCATTAATAAACGTAATGGGTTTTCTTTATAAGCCTCTTCATTTTTTTCTAATCTTTCTTCGATCTCAAATATTTCATCGGAAAAAGTTGATTCAGAATTAGGTTTCTCTGAATTGCTGCTCATATCGACAGCATGAGTCATACAATGTGAAATGGTCTCAGAACCCTCAATTGCGTTGATGCAAGATTTTTCTATTTTGATTTCTTCATCTTGACGTGTTCTTTTTACACGAGGCTGATCTATCGATTTTTTATTGGTGTTATCAGATACAAGGAAAAATTTTGAATCCTTTAATTCATCACCTTCCCGCGCTCTTTTAGGGCTTATTGGTTCATCAAATGTCACACCACTTTCATTTGTAACTTGGAACGTTGGAGAACCTTCCATGACCATTTGCTGAACATCTCTATCAGCTGGTCTTTCATCAATATGCGGATTATTTATTAGAATTTTCCGTTCATCATTTTTTAAAAATGATCTTTCATCGTCATGTGAATCAGAACAAATATTATCATCCTTAATATCATCGTTCATATCATCAAATTGGTAACTTTTTTCAGCCTCTTTTTCTTTTTGTAAATTGTCAATTATCTGTTCAATATAATTAAGCTTGACACCATGCTTAGGTAATTTATGCAATTTGTCGTTGAGGTAGAACTCTGGATCACATTCGATGTGCATTTTTTTTTGTGGAGAGTATTCGATGGCTGTATTGTCGCTGAAAGGTAGATTATTATCTGAACATAACCTTCGCAATGGTGGCTATTTGAGGGAAAGAAGAGAAAGAAGTCACATAAATTCAACCATTTAAATTTAATTATGTTAACACATTACTTACCAACGCATGATCTACATGGCACGGGCACATCCATTTTTTGTTCGCCGGTATAGGAATTACTAATGGAAGATCCAAGCAATCGAAATGCCAATGAAGGTCACAAAAGTCACAAGACATTATTAGTTTCGACTTGCTTGGAGGAAGCTTGCACTGAAAACAACGTATAAGTTTTCCATTGTCATCTATCATACGATGATGATCCGGTTCAAGTGTGAACCCATTCCGACTTTTATAAATTTAGAAATACAACTTATTAATGATGGAAGAGAATTATCGATGAAAGTGTTTTTGATCATTAAAATGAGCGCATTACTCTTTTTGTTCGAACTTGACTTTGTTTGTATCTACATATTCACCATGAGGGCCTGTGCCGACTATTTCATAAAGAGAAAAGAATAATATCAATTATTTCATAATCGGCGATAATTTGAACGATTAAAATCAAACGAACCATCTTCAAACGCATTTCTAACATGTTCTGGCAACAAATAAGATTTTGGATTAGAACAACGAGCTTTGTATATCAGCTCTTGGAAAGGGCCTTGTGCTGGCATCGACGGTGAAGCCTACAAAAATTAACATGAAAAAAAAACACCGATGAAAGAATTCAATTGATGGAATATAAACCACAATACAGAATCGATAGTCTTGCATTAATACAAACCCTATCACTCTTACATTCACGACAATACCAATTTCCTTTTGGCGGATTATCAACGTCAAGAGGAGGTACCAGACATGTAAAATGAAAAGCTTTCGGACAAGCGTCACAGCACATTAAGCGACCACCATAACCACACGCATCACATTGATCATGATTATTCTATAAGTTATAAAATTAATTAATGTTCCCTCATTTATTTTAGCTTTTACCCTTACACCGAAAGACACATAATGTTATCGTGCACTGTAAACTTCATTTTATACCTGCGTATAATTATTTGCACCAACAGCAGCTAACGCACCCCTTGTATGAATGATATGTCTCGGAGAATTCGTAGGAGAATTTGGAGAAGGGAAGACACTACTATAACACAAAACTTTATGAAATCATTCAGGATAGTCTTTCAACCATGAGAAAACTTACCCCATTTTAATTGTATACTTTTTGATCTTACTTTAACAACCCGCGTTTTAAAAACTCAGAATATTATAACCAAGATACACCAAATATCATTCAAGAAAAAATTTTATTGAATAGAAATATCAAGAATGATAACTTTCAGGATTAAAAAAAAGTTTGATAAAATCTGGCCAGGGTTAAAAAGTTTTCGGTTAACGCACGTGATGTAATGCGACAAATCTTTTATCGTAACGGTAAGACCAATTTAACGTTAATTTAATAAATATCGATATGTATAGCATAACATGAATTTTAAGTAATTTATAGAGTTCACACTACAAATAATGTGCCTCGTAATCCTTTCAATAAATATCGAAAAAAATACAATAAATTGTCGAAATTAATTAGCTCATCGAGAATTACAGAATTACAAGGAATAATTAACTTTTCTAGGAAAATATTGATAGAGTTCCATTATTTTAAGCACCAGAAACATATATAAGGATAATAAACCTTTCTATTTTTCAATGAAAATAAACAAAAGCCTACTATTATAAATAACAAAGGAAAACATAAAATGTACATTCTTTTCAAAAGAAATTAAAACATAACGTCGAGATATTTTTTTAAATCAAGAAAAAATGTAAAACAAAATAATGAAACTGAAACAACAAAGTAAGACATTTCTTCATAAACATTGCTATTTCAAAATCTTACAGTCTATGACCAGGAACTGCAACAAAGATTGCAGTAATAACAATTGAAATAATTAAACTTTTCAAAAATATCTCTATTCCTTTTTTTATATGTAATTTGTATATATATGGTTCCGACACCCGTTGAAATCTAGCGAATTTTGTTTCGCTAATAACATTTCAAACAAAATAAATATTTATTAATAAAATAAACCTAATAAACCGTTTAATTGAATAAATATATATTACCTTATTTTCAACAAAACAAATAGAGGGCTAAGTTCCTTTTGATTGGCAAATAAGTTGGTTACACCCATAAGAATAGGAATTAAACACTACAAAATAATTTGATTATTATGAGAGAGAATAATCTTATAAACCATTTACATAAATATTTAAGCCTACCCATATTCTAACGGCTCTTGGTTCAACATTTAAGAAAATCAAACTTAATGCTGTGGCAAATCCGATGAATAAAAAGAACAATCCGAGAACTAATCTTAACATGGTTTGCAAGATGTTCATATTGCCAAATGCTCTTGCCTCTAAAAACCTAGGAAAATGCTCTCTTTGCATGAATTCGAAAATCTCTCTTTTTGCCTCGTAAAAAATCCATGGATCAGCCCTTTTGTTTAGAGTACCACTTTCTTCTTCAAAAATAAGCCTTATTTTTTCACGAGTATGATCTGATAACTCAATCTCTTTTTCGGAATCCTCGTTAATATATCTGTAATAAATACGTTCCGCCGATTCGCGAAGATCTTCTTTTGTAAATGGACGTTCCCGTCCATAAAATGAAAGATTGCCTGTGGTAGTATTGGTCTTGTTTGACCGAACTGAATCTCTATGTCTTGTAAATCGTGACGCTTTACTCGCAGTCGCTATATCGATTATGTGTTGTCCTGAGTATGGTGATTCAGGGCGTGAAGGGGTATCAAAAACGCCACCGGTGCTATTTGTGATATTGGACTCACGTGATGAAGCGCTCAATTGTCTTTGAACACCCCCATCATTACTTGTGGCTACGCTAAGTCTACTCAATTTACCTTTTTCTGGTGCTATCCCAGCAGGTCGATACCTTTCATACTCTGGATATTCAATGTTGATATCCAATCCAAGTTTTTTTACGTCTTTTACAAATGCTTTACATATATTTTCATGTTCTAATACATCAAGATAGAAATCCAGATATTCTGATGCCTGCTCTCTATCTCTCATATAAAGATAAAAGTTGTAAAGACATACAGGAGGCGCCGTTTTACGACTAAGGACTTCCTGTAACGTTGGAAGTTTGTCCCGGTCATACGTTGGATACTTGGTTCTTGCAAGACGTTGCCCTTTTTCAGAACCGGAAATAGTATGGTCTTTGCTCATTATGGTTTCTTAGATGCAAGAGAGCGGCTCAATTTGAATCTGTATAGCGATAAGTGGTATTATTGGCTGTTATTGGAGTACTGGAAGACAGGGTAAAACAAAAATTGTTAACAGCGTTGAATCTTGCCGTTAAGCTACTGATAATTGAACTTTCCAGGCACTCTTAACTGTATGACCCCGAGGAAATTGGCAAGGTCGTAGCTATTTCAAAAGGGTATTTTTCCAATTGACATTTCCTCGAAATATCATAATTAAGCTGAAGAAGTTCTATAAATAATCAAGTCCCTTACTCTTATTGTAATCTTGTACCCTACCTGCTATTTATGTATGCAAACTTTGCCGTGATAATCCGTATTAAGTATTTAATATTGATCGATATCGATACATCTTTACGGATATTTCATAGTGCTCTTGCTTGTGACTTGAATTAGTACCGATGCAGTATTTATCAAATATCGACAAAGCTTACATTGTTTCCGACATTGTTTTACGTACTGGTAAATAGTTTTTCCATCGTATGTAATGTTTTAATGTTAAACAAACTTAGTCTATCAATATATACTGTATATACAGTACAAAAATAGTTGGATAAAGAATGTTTTTTTTTTTACAGTTAGCGGGACTGAATAAAAAAAGATATATATTCTTTAAATTGATGGTCACTGGTGTTATACAATTAATATAATACGTAGGCACTTGTTACACTTGATTTGCTGGTTAACAGAAGCATCGTTTTAGTAGTTCAATTCAATAATAAAAAGCCCACATACTTATTTTATTGTCATCATCGGGTAACGTACTTTAACGGTAACGTTTCACTACCAAAAAACCATCACCAACATTCTTATGTAAAATAATCAAAAAATACGAGAACCCGGAGAACTTCACTTAGAAGTGAGTATTTTACTACTTATGACTTATATTACTATATTAGCTGTATATAATAGGGATGTTAATCGGTCCTGTAGTAATTCTCAGTTGAAGAAAATTGATATTTTCAAAGTATAACAGTCTCTAATAGATGTTTGTCGGTTTTTGCATTAATTTTAAGTGGAGGAGAGAAAATTTTGTTGGTCAGTCCCACTTAGATTACTCAGAAACTAATGCAAAAGCAGATAAACTTTTATTAGAGACTGTTATAGAGAAATAGCTTTTCTATAACTTATTGAACAAATACTAGTTAAAAATATTAATTTTTTACAAATCCTTTTTAAAGTTGGTTAAATAATTATTGTAAAACTAATTAACATTCTCAATATATAAGTGTTAAACACCTGGAATTGGAGGCAGAAATAAAACATGTGAACAATTTTGGGTTTGATTGGTTTATATAAATAGATTGATCTTCAGATTGGACTTGTGTTAAGTGATTTATTCTTATTTTTGAAATTGTTAATGAAAATTAAGAGTAAAGTATATGATTTTCAAATTATATATAGTAAATTTTTATTTAATTAAAAATAAAAAAAAAATTTTCTTAAGTAAACAGCTTTTAAATATTAATTAAAAATTGTAGAATATGTTTTTCTAATTCTAATGATAGTAAATTTATTAAAATTGGTTAAATATTAATTAAGATATATATGTTTAAAAATTAGGTATTATAAATTGTTTATATAAATCATATGAAGATCATATAATTTGGACCAATTATAATTAACAATTTTGTATAATTATAGAAAATTTGAAGACACTATAGAGAATTTTGCAATATATACAAGTATATTTTTTTAGAATATTTTATTTTTTAAAAATTTTACTATTATTTTTTTTTTTTTTAGTTTTTAAGATGACTCTTTTTGGTCTTTTAATTTTATTAATACTTTTGTCAAGTATTATAACAAGTGCACAACTGGTTATATATATAACTTTTCTATATTACCTATTTAAGAAGTCTGCCTAAAAGTTCTTCACCAGTTACTGTACTTAATGTTTCTGTTTAGGTATTTCATTTAAACTTTCTAATCTGAAATCTTTATATTAACTTTATTAGATCATTTGTATCTAGATTCTTATTTTAAGTTTAGAACAATTTTATTCTTGAGATAAACCTATCAGAGCAAGCTATATATTTTTTATTTATTACTAATCTGGATTTTTTGCTATAATCAAAATCAATACTTGCAGTTAGGATTATCTATTAAATTACTATTATTCTTATAAAGTTTACTTAAACTCTAGTATTTGTTTTTTCAATAACTTTATCATTATCTTTTACTAATTGCAATTCAGAATTAATAGGCTTACCAGACTTCTAATCCAGATAACCTGATATAGTATATTTATGTATCTTTTTTTTGATAATTCTGATAGTCTAATTGGTCATATGCTCTTTTATATATTTTATTATCTAGTTTATCTAACAATTTTTATGAAAAATGTTTCATAGATTTCTATCAGTTCAATAGCATCATTGAAAGTTTATATTATCTCTTTATTTAGGATTTTCAAATAGGTTTTCATTTTCTTGATTTCTTAGCCTTTTTATTTGATGATCTTATTATGAGTTTGAACTAAAGTCTTATATAACATCAGTTTTTTATATTTCTTTATATATGTATAATGTTATACTTTATATAGATACTTCTAATTTTCAATATCAGATAGGATCCCACTTAGTATATCTAAAATTACAGATATCTAAAATCTAATTGATCAACAAAAAATAATTACTATAATATAGGTATAATTTTTAAAATTCATCATCTATAGAAATTAAACTTTAGACTAATACTTAAAAGTTAACAACCTATCTATTTTATTAAATCATTATATTCTCAAAATTTTATTATTATTATTTTTTTTTTATATTAAAATAAGGTCTTACTTATATCTTTATTAATAATTTAAAATAATTACATATATATATGCTATAGTTAAGACCAATACTTATAGTTAGAGCTAAGCATTAAACTGTTATATATATTTTTTTTTAATATTAATAATAAGGTTATGTCTCTATCTTTATTAAATATTTAATTGAGATTTTATATAAAATACAATTCTGTTTTTAAAATATTATAAAAAGAATAGAAGTTAGATTAATTTATTTGCAACCTAAACTAATCAGAGTGACTAAGGCTTATCTAGATTTGAGTGTTAGTAATTATGTATAGAGGATTAGTTTAATATTTAATCTATTGAATATATTAGAAGTTTATTTTTAAACTAATAGAATTGAATAGAAAAGAATATGATAAAAATAAGACAATATTTGAAAATGTTGTTATAGAATAGAAGTCTTTTTAATTTTATACTACAATAATAATATAGTATAGAGAATCTTTTATGAGTATATGTAGTATTTAAAAGGAAAGTATAGTTCTTGTTAGATGTTGTCAAGAAAATATACCCATCTTTAAGGCAGTTCGACAATTATTACATAATAGTTTATAGTTAAAATCATTTATTAAGATAATAACAAAAAAGGTTATTCTTAGGCATCTGTTCTAAAGAATTCAAAGTATTATTTATAGAATAAAAGGAAAAAAAGAATTGTCTGTTTTTCTAAACTATTAATTATAATATTTGCTTTGATTTAAGAGAATTTTAAAGGTTTATATATTTGTAAATTAAGCAACTAAGCTACTAAGAAACTAAGCAACTAAGCAACTAAGGAACTAAATAACTAAATGACTAAGGAACTAAACAACTAAGCAACTAAGCAATTGGTATTACAAGCTTAAGGCATTAAAATGTTTAAAGTATTAAAGTAACTATATCTAATAAATGATACAATAATAAAAATAATAATATATTAAGATAATAATATAATAATAGTAATATAATAATAATAGAAATCCATCTTATAACATTTTCATCATCTTAAAGAAATTTGTTCTACAAATTCTAAATTATTATAAAAAGTTAAAAATAATTTCTGTTCTTATTATTTGTAATTATACAATTTACAAATTATATTATTCTCAATTTGTTAAATTAATTTTTAATTGATTTCCAAATTTGTTAAACCAATTTTTAATTAGTATCTAAATTTTGTTTTATTGAAAAAAAAATAATTTGATCATTATTTGTAAGAAAGAAAAAAAAAATTTGATCATTGTTTGTAAGAAAGAAAAAAAAAATTTATATCTCTTTCTTCTCTCTTTTTTTTAAAAAAAAAATCAATAACAACAATAATAATAATAATAATTATAATATGTAACAATGCCAAGAACTAATATGTCAAGAAATGTTTATTATAAGAGCAATAATGCCTTATATAAGGCCTTAGAGGTGGTTCAAAATAAGAATATGTAATAAATATTCAAAAAAATTTTTTTTATTTTTTAACTAATAAACCAAATTTTCTATAGTTTATTTCATTTAATGACCTTCCAAAAAAGAAAAATTTTTAGGGGCTGCCTCTGGTCTGCCCTATCCAAACCCACCCAAACAGGATTACAAATCAATATTACATCATCTGAGCTAATTTGTATTGTTTACAAATTTGTATTCTTTTAATTTTATACAACTTTTTGTTCAACAGCAATCTTGATTTACAGATCTGCAAGTATTATATACTCTGTGTAATACTTATTTGGCACACCTTGTGTTTGTCATATTACCTTATTTGTCACATTCCTTATTTGTCACACCTCTATATCTTTCAGACCGCCTCATATCCAAGATTCTTATAATCTACTTTATTTTTATTTTTTAAGCCAAAATGCTAACTCTTATTAATAAAGACCCAGATTCTTATGATATCGACTATTATCATAGCAAATACAAAGATCGTCATGGTGTAGAAATGATCAAAGGAAAACCTTAATCCTTACAAGTACTTCCTGCAGATGTTGATCCAGCTAATTGTGATACTTCTAAAAAACATCATTACTTTAAATTCCTTTACAACCTACTATTGCTACATGTCTCTATAGAGCATATCATACTAGTTTTACTTCTAGATTCTATAAAATTTCCCATTCTACATCTCTTGGTCAATCTACAACTCAAATTACATCTACTATATCTACTAAACGATTTACAAAAATTAC